TTGTTTCATTCTGCTGTCTTACTAGTCATATTTTAATTGCTGCATATTTAACGGGAATGCACCCATAACCTCGTTGTCCATGAACAATTGCACTAAAGGCCTAATTCTAGTCTGCTGTGCAAGTCCCGACACGTACGACACCCTACATCAGCTCTGCAGGCGCTGACGAAAAGCATTGCTGAAGAATGACGCACGCTCCTGTACGCCTGCGGTTTAAACTCTAATGACATCAGACCTGATTCATGTCGGTTAGTTAGCTGGCAGCACCGACATGAGTGAAAATAACAGAAAAGAAAGAAACTGACGCCCAACAGGTCCGACTGCTGGACGCAGCTACGGACACTCAGCGAGTTTAACGACCTCCTAAGACCCGAACTCTTCCTCGGCAGCATTTTTAATTTCACTTTGATATTTGGTCACATTGGGGCCCGATGAATGTAAAAACAAAGAATTACCAGATTTTTTTAACCTTACTTTTGTTTTTAAGAAAAATGAGAGCCACATGAGGATATTCGTTTAAAGTTTTGATAGAACAGTAGCAGCATAATGTCCTCGTAAGTGGATATCAGGCCCTTGTAGCGCAAAATTGAGTATTTTGGTCTAAATAACCCAAAATGTGATGTCCACAGAAGGTTAAGGAGCGCTTAAATATAACGATCATTCAGGAGCGAAATACTTGTTAACTTGTTCCAGCCACATACATACTGACATTAAAATGAGATACTTCTGTGGCTCATGTAGTCGTTTTGACCAAAGAAACACGTGACATGTTTTCTTCAGCCGTGTTAAAAACGTCAACGTCTAAAGCTAATAACAAACAAGCTAATGCCCCGTGCTCTCTGAGCACTACCATTATAACATTTGGTTTCTACGTTAGCTGTGCACTATCCAGTCACTTTAACGCAGCTTCTTCCGTTGTTGGCTGATTAGTAAAGTTTTCCTGTGACTCACCTCAGTAAACGGATCCATTCTGGTTACTTTCTAACAACTCGACTGCAGTTTGAAGTAAAACTTCTACAACTGCGCGACTCCAGCTTCTCTCTTTGTACCAAACAGCTTCTGTTCAAATTTGAATTTCGGCGCTGTGACTACTGCGCAGACTCCACATCTTCAACGGACCACTTAGAGCCAATCAAAATCACCGAGAGGGGTCGTGACCGGTGTTGTGCCAAAGAATGACTTCCGGTGTTTCGGTGTGTTTTTTATGTTTGCTCAGATTACAAAATAATCTGCAGTCAGCAGGGTTTACGAAGGTGTTACATATAAAATAAAGAAATGGCCTGTTTTGCGGGTATCTTTACGACTCGGCGTTATTTTACATACTGTGTTCTACATTATATTTGATTCAGCCTTTTTGACCACTTAAAATATTCTGAAATTATTGTTATGTAAATTTTTGTTTTATGTTTTTGCAATTTTTGCTGCCCTCTTGGTCCGATCTCTTTTGGAAAATAAATCTTTTCATGTCAATGAGTTGAATGTAAATATATACATTCATTAATAACATAAAAGTTGCTTTGCAAAAAAAAACTGATTGCAGTTTCTACCTGTGACAAAAATATTGTTTCTGGCTTTAAACATTTGTAATTTACGATCGTTTAAATGTCGCCAATCAAAATTTTGGAAAATGTCGGAAATTGCTTTTTTGGCAGGAATTACAATCCTGTCTAAGTTTTCGCAAGAGGAAAAAACAAAAACATAATTCATGCCAACCCGGTACATTGGAAGTCGGCACTACAGAGTTATGCATTCTTGTATCATGTATCACCAGCAGCACAGCTTCTTGTTGGATTCAAAACCCGCTGCAGCACATTCATGGACGGAGCCCGCTCAGTGCTTTGGCTGCGGCCAGGGCTGGACTGGGACATAAATGGGCATTTTGACTAGAGACCGGCCCCCCAGGTATTATAGGAAAAGCCATAAAGCCTTTGAATGAAAACAAACGCTGCTGTGACAGTGATGGACAGTCTTGTTGGTATATGTATGATTTCTATACATTTTACATCAGATAAAAACTTTGGTTGTAAGATTCAGATAATTATTTAATAAAAGCGAGAAATTTTAAATGAGAATCAGAAAGAAAAGTATTTCTTTGTGCCTCGCCCCTGCACAGTTACCAGCTGTCAGCTACTTAGAAAAGGACCCTGGTGTTATTTGTCTCTCAGAAACTGTTCATAACTTCCCTTCAACTCATTCATGTCACCTAAAAGGTAAACCTGTTTCTCCATCACAGCTCTGATGATCCAGTAAGGACATCTCCTAGTTTCATCCTCATGTTTCCCTCTCACCACATAACCAAACCGACATCATGACCAGCAGCTTTACAGCTGTGGCTCCAGCAAACATCAGCTGATACTAGAAATTATTATTAAATAAATTCTAACAACAGCTGATCAGCTTAAACGTGCTGCTGTTGTTTAGCGCGACATCTGCTGGTTTCCTGTTTCTGGCACAAAGTGAGCGATAAACAAACAAGAGAGAAAAGCCGATCAGCTGATCATTGATCAGTTTCGTGATTGAAGCAGCAACAGGAGAGGGAGGGGAGAGAATGAGAGAAGAGGCAGCTGTGCAGCAAAGACAAAGAATAACTCCAGCTTTGCGTCTTTTTTCATTCTAGCTGAAGTTCAGGACAAACTGTTCCTTTTCAGCTCAATACGAAACGCGTAATATTTTCTCTGAATGCGAGACGATTCCGTTTTTTACGGGACAGTTGGCAACTCTACTAACTAACCCTATGAATAAAATAAAGTTCACTATCAGTGACATCATAGCACCACCCAGCTGTATAGAAACTCTGTCATGCTAACTAGTACAAGTTATTGTAACTGACGGTAAAAAGTCAGCACAACGAAAATAAACTGCACCTAAACTTGGTTTATATCTGACCCAGACAGACTGCAGGTCATCACTTCTTACCTGAAGTTCAGTTCACCTGACACTCGGACCTGCTTCTCCTGCCTCCACTTTCCCTCATTTTTTAGTTTTAGTTTTTGAAAAAGTTTGACAGACTGTAAATGTGAAAAACAAAATGCAGCATTAGACCCTGATTCGGGCGGTGAGGTGGAGCAACATGAAGCTTCCAGTTTGTCTGGGCTGTGTCTGCAGTGACTGGTCTAAAGAACACCAAAAGTCATGAAACTCTGGAGATGTAGGATCTTACTCAATGATCTCTATTATTTTGGACAGATAGTTTAATCTTGATTATTTAACAATGTTATGAGGTTCAACACTTTGGATTCAGTCAACTTGTGTTTCTGTTTTTTTTTTTAAACAAGAAAAAAATGTAATGATATTGAGATATAAAAATTAAAGAAATAAATGTTAAAATAGACATAGAGGAGGATATATGACATGGAGTTATGATGGGTTTAAACGTCACACCCATTTCCATTACAGGTCACTACTGGTCCCTGTGATGGGGACCAGAGGTTGCATTCCAGGGTTTCTTTTAAAAGCTAGATTAAAAAAAGAAATAAAAAAATGTATTATTATTAAAAGGAACACATTTATGATTCGGGAATTCTTTATTAAGTTTAGTGAGTTTGACATTTTGTTGTAGTGACAGCGTCTGGAAGATGAAGAAACACGATACCAAAACGTCGGTGAGTGTATCAAGCTGTAGAAATCTGCAGTCCCTGAGCACAGCTAGCCACACCCGTTATCGGTGCATGTATTGCTTTAAGAAACATTATGTGACGTGTACAGCAGCAGTGTCCTATCACCGTGCGGTGCCTATTTTCCCGATCCGGTTTCCACTTTTGCGCAGTTGTAATGCGAGTTACGTCCCAATGCTTTGCTCGTGGACTCATTTCTTTATGTTCACACGAATTAACACGATTTTATTTGCAGACATGTGTGTAAACCTCCTCCTCCTCACACACAAGTGCGACCACTCCCACTGGGACAAGCACAAACAAAACGTTCATTTTTATTTTACGCTTTTCACTTATACTTCATTACGAAATATTCTTCTTTCCAAGCTCCTTAGACCCTTACCAAACATATATTAGATATACTGTTATGCCAAATTAATTGGAATACATACACTTCACCTTGTATTTCATCAGGTGGTTATAATCAGGATCATTTGGTCTCCTGGTATCAGAATCATGGGACAAATTCTTTCTCCAGGTTGCCTGCAGTAACTTTTTTAATCCAGCAGCTCTCACTACTGAGCAGCACATTAATCACTTCATGAGGAGTCATCCAACCATCACCAGCGTCATCTCTGCTGTCATGGGATCACGTGACTGCTCAGAGTCAATTTCTGATCGGATTGCTGTGTAAAGTGCTTTGTCAGTAAGGTCAATAAGATCAGTAAGACCTGAAAATAGCTCAAAGCTCATGTGGTAAAATATGTGTGTGTGTTACAGGGCAAAAAAAAAAAAAAAAAGTGGGGGGAGTGGTGCAGTGGGTTCAGGGGGCAGTGCCAGAGGAGGCTGGCCAATGCAGTTAGGGATCATCAGATCATGCCTCCCCTGCTTGAGCAGCACACAGGACGTGGAGGGAGAGAGGAGCTGAGAGAGAACAGCTGTGTACCAAAACAGAAAGAGCCAGTCGGCAACAGCAGCCCAGGAAGGCGTCAGTGCACATAATCAGTGCTTTTAAAACCCCGTGTGTGCCTCGTGCTGAGCAGTATAACACAAGTGTGTGTTACCTGGCTGTTTAATTTCAAAAGCAGTATTGTGAAGGTGGTTAACGACCAGTTTTAAGGGCAGCAGCAAAGCCCTGTGATGTCACTGTGCCTGGCAACGTTATTCTCAGGGAAGTATGGCAGTTCACATGCACACAAGCTTCACTTGTATAATTAAGCACACAGCTTTCATGAGCTCAGCAGCTGAGATTGAATCTTACTCTCCAGTGAACTATAAAAGATGAAGGACACAGCAGCGCCTGCAAAGAGATCCGGGTCATTCAGATGGTGCTCAAACTGTATCAATAAGAGTTCGTACAGACCGTGATCATCTATCAATTTATTTTTATTTTTCTATACAAAAATGTTTGGCACATTTCTTTTAAAATACATCATATTTTTGTCTAAACATTTGTTATGGCTTGAATATTTCTCATTTACCATTTTCCATTGATAACCTGAAACCCAAAAGGCAATCTTGGCACTTGTTCACATTCTGTAGGAAACTGCGCCACAGCAAACCGAGATAAAGCAGAATCCTGATAGGTTAAAAACTTCATGTCATTCAGTTCTGTCTTTGCTGCAGCCGATGTCACCGCTCATGTTTGGGCAGAATGTCTCCCCTGTCCACCACTGCCATACCAGGTCCGCTCAGCTCCTTAGGAGGTAGGTCTGCATAAAACTCTGCAAACACAGGGCAGTGATCAGAGGCCACACCGCCCCACGACCAGTTATCTGGGATCCAGGGGTTAGTTAAGCCTTCCCGAACTACCATGCAGTGGCCTGTCAGAACAAAGGACACAAGAACAGTCAGGAGATACTTAGAACTTCATGCAACACAAATAATGCACCAAACTTTGATCTGATAGTAGCTTCTATAAAACTAGGATCACATTCATCATACATTTGAGAAGTAACCATGTATCCTCTACTTTACACATAGTTTAAAATACATTTTTACATTTATTTTGTAATTATTTTTATCTTGAGACTCAACTTAAACTTTGATTGAGTGACTTCTAGTCTAAATAACTCAGGTGCAAGTGTGGCCTCAAAGTGCTTTTAACTAGGCTCAGACTTGTCTTGGCACACTTGGTAAGTTGATGATTTGACACTCAGATTAGACCAAACTTAGACTTGAAGACCAGGTTTGACTTGTCATAACTGGAGACCAAATTTTAAATTGGTTTGGTGAACTCCAGAGCACACTTAGTCTTGTGTAAAGGACCTGAGAAGTGACTTAACATTTAGTTTGTGTTCGGCATAAAACCTGACCTGTTTTTAACCAGAGTTGAAACTAAAGCCAGTCTCGTTTTAAGACTGTTAATGAAAAACCTGACTTTACTTGTTTTATATGACTAGTTTATAAACTGCTATACATTTAATCGTTAGTTGCTTGTGTGACTTCTTTCTTTCTTTTCAATTCTTCTTCTTAAAAGGGAGTTTTTTCCTTCCCACGATTCATAGAGGCTCATCTGATTGTTAGGATTGTAAACATACAATATAAAGAACTAAACTGACCACCTGTGTAAAAGCAACGCTCGACTTGGACTTCTGTGATGACTCTATGTAGAGCCTACAGTGCAGCTTATGTGGCTGACACTGTTGCCCCTGTGTGGGCTGTATTGGACATGTGGTTACATTTGTGCACATTATTGCACAACACACTTTCACAAGGGTTTGCAGTAGCATAGATTTAACGCAGAAGTTTATTTCTATTGTAAGTTTGGCAGTTTGTTGCTCTGGTTCAGGTGTGCCAAAAACACGCAGTGCTAACTAATAACACAAGAACTACATCTAAAATTATACAGGCGTAAGTTAGCATGTTATATGTTCGAGTTCCTGATAGTTAGAAACAAAGACTAAACAAGTACGGCTTGTTTGGAAGGGTCGCCAAGAGAAATCCCCATCTTTCTAAAACGCACCTCATAAAAATTGGAGCTGTGCACAATGAAAACCCTGAGTGGGCTAAAATACAAGGTTCAAAGTTCTTTATTTGCCATTCGTGCATAAACCAGCAGGCACACTGGAACTCTTGGTCAGAGCTCTGTCAGTCATAGTACGCATGTTAGAAAGAGGCAGAAATAAACAAGACAGAACAAAAAATCTAAGTTGGTTTCACAAGCTCCTGAATCATGGAGGTGTACTCGGCTTATTTACTTCTATACAGTTATGTAAAAAAATCTAATAAATGACAGAGTCAACGTGGACATTGCCACTTATCTTTAAAACTTCATATCAGTGTATCCAGACTATTTAACCTAGAGTCTTCTATCATGCCACAACTGAGCTCGATTCAGAGGATCAGACGGGAACTCTGATTGTTCTTTAACTCTGCAGAATCTCCATCTTCCTTCCAAATATTCATTAACCCTTTCATGCATGAATTATGACAAAAAAATTTTAAGTATTTTTATTCATCTTTAGGGATGAAAAAAATGTTTTTTGAATTTCTTTCTTTTTTTTTTAACGTTCTTTTCAAGGATTTTTTCTTTCCTTTAAACATGTGCAGTTAGGTGGACAACTGGCTATTTTTAGGCCTTTCTGAGAACCGGTGTGGTTATGGCATGGTCTCAAAGCACCTTGAGGGAACTGTTGTGATTTGGTGCCAGAAAAATACAATGAATTGAATTTAAAAGCATCCTTCGTCCATCCACTCAGACTTCAGAAGAGCTGCTATTCCTCCTACAGTAATGGTCAGAAAGTTATCAAACTTACAACTATCATCTAATCGCTTCACAAACTGTGGAAACATCGCACTGGTCTTCAAACATCGTGGTTTCTGTGTCTCTGCACTCTTCATCCAGATTCTATGCAATACTTACTTTCAGGTGAAAAGAGGACTTTGGACCAACAGTCTAACAACAGGATGGTAACATTTTTTCATTTTAGCTCAGATAATAAACTAAAAGATTTCTATTTTTCAGGATTGGCTTGATATTAGGAATGTGACAGTTGTAGCCTCTTTCCTGAAGACATCTGTGCACGGTGGCTCGTGATTTGCTAAGACCAACCTCAGCCAAGTTCCTAAAATCAACTTTTGTTTTTTGCTTATACAGATGTTCCTACCATACTTTTAGTTTCTAGTCAACCTCTGATTAAAAAGCTTTGATATTGCTCTCTGAAATCAATCAGCCTTCTCAGCACAGATCCTCTGTGGCTTTCCCTCCATGGAGTGTCGATATCCGTCAGCGAGACAGCTGTCCATCCAACTACCTACTACTACTACTACTACTAATAATAATTTGAGCGAACCAACATTTAAAATAAAGCAGAAGAAATCATATCAGGTCTAACCTGATTAAATTCCAAAAAAAAAACCTATTCCATAATATTCTAATATCCTGAGATGCACTTGTAATGTAAACTTAGCCGACTTTTGCCCTGAATTAATGAAACACGAATAAAACTGAACTGAACTAAATAACTTGAGATATGATGAATGCTGAATGAATTCACAGATAATTTCCCTTAATATGAAACCTGACCTTATCAAGACAACCTAAGAGAACTTTTTAATCTTAATCGGTGCAACTGTCCAAACACAACTGTACATGTACCTGAATATATCTTCTGCAGAGAACGGCTGACCCAGATGTTGTCCACGCAGCGGGTGCCCTGTGGTGAGCAGGTGGTGATGTTGGTGAACTGAGTGGATGGTATCAGGGCACAGAATTTCTCCTTTCTCAGTGTGTCCAGCTCTGAGCTCTGAGGAGAGCAACCAAAATTGCCCAACACTAGTAGATCCTTTTCACCTGCAAAGGAAGAAACGGAAAATAGGACAAGACGTCAAAAATGACGTCAGACTTTGCGGATCCGTCTACGGCGTCTGACACATGCGGTCTCGACTGGTCCGACCTGGCAGACTAACCTTTTAGTGTTCCCTGGATGCTGGGAGGGAGGCGTTGACACTTGGCTTCATCAGAGTTTTGGTTTTTGCCACCGGACTGCTCTGGTGAAGCAGGGGCTTGCATATGGACATTCACCACCGTCAGCTCCAATGAACCAATCTAATGGAAAAAGTCAATTTTTTGACCACTTAAATTTTTATCCTGCTAAGTAAAAAGAAGAACAATACATAAAACCAAAGAAATATGCAGCAGTGCATCAACCATGTGTTCGTTCTGGAGGTTTAAGAAAGTATTCAGATCCTAAACAATTACAAATGGATATTGTCTGATTGTTGGGCTGTTCTCTTCATCGTTCCAGGGTCTTATAGATACGGCTCTCTGAGACAGCTGTTGGTGGGTTTGGTGCCATATAAATAAAATTAATTGAATTGTTTTTTATAACCAAACACACATGAATTCAATGACAATAAATTATAGCCTTACTAAAAAGTGAGCCACATAGAGTGGATGGTGTACATGACTCCCATTTCCATTGACAGCAGGAGACTCCAAGACAAGGGCATCCTTCAGATCAATTCCTGAGGAGCTATCCCACAAAAAGCCAGAGTAGCTCACTCCCTGTGAACAGAGTTTATTTAATTAATATAAACTTTCAAGTCAATCTTCTTACTCTACTTATGATTTAGTCAATCACAGCTATTCATATGTCAGTTACATAAACATTTGACATGTAGTTTACTGATGCTGATTCTTAGAGTGTAAGCATGAAGGTAAACAGCTGCTGGTAATAGAGCTGGAGGGTCACTGCTATTTTTACAAAAGATCATTTCATATTTATTCCGCATGAAAGATCAGTCTGTGCAGTAGCACTACTATAGTTTTACTGCAGTTGCAGTTCTAGATAATAAAAGAAACTGTAGTGGTTAAGAAAAAAAGTCAGTGTTAAAAAATGTTAAAAACTCGACGGGTAAATTATTCAAATCGATTTCTGGGAACTGAAAACTGAACTGATTGATCTTCAGCAAAGTTTAGACTTTGATTTATTTTAGTGGATACAATTTAAAGTGTCGTTGTAACAGCTGCCAATGGTAAACCCACCTTGCTGGAATGGCCGGTGGGTTTTTCCGACACAACACTTTTCCACAGCCCTCGTGGCCATTTCCACTTCTGTAAACTGGCAAGTGTTCCTTGATTTAATTCTGCACAGAACTGCAACACATAAAGACAGGTTTGCCTGTTATTATATTACTAACTAAAAAGCAAATTAACATTTTGTAAAACTCTGGAAGCAACTGGCACAAAGTATCTAAAGCAACTTGGGGTTTGGTATCTTGCCCAAGGATACTGGAGCAGCCAGAGATTGAACCACCAGCCTTCGGATTAGAGATTATCTGCTCTACCTCCTGAGCTACAGCCAACCCAAATTATTAATAGATAATTATTTAAATACAACATGACAAACGGGTAATACACACACAAAAAACATTTTAAAAGTATTAAGTATCATCTTCTACCAATCTGCTTCGATATACAGGGAGTGCAGAATTATTAGGCAACGTCCTTTCCTTTGGCAAAATGGGTCAAAAGAAGGACTTGACAGGCTCAGAAAAGTCAAAAATAGTG